CAATGAAACGCATGTTTATAGCCTTAGTACGTCCATATTTGGAATACGCAGCTCCTATCTGGAATCCTTATCGTCAGTATGATAAAGATAAACTAGAGTGTGTCCAACAAAGAGCTTCTAGAATTAAAATTTTGAAAGGATAAAGTTATGAAGAGAGGTTAAAGAAGTTGGATTTACTATCGTTGGAGAACAGAAGAAGAAGGGGTGATTTGATACAAATGTTTAAATATTTGAAAGGGTACGATATTTTAAATTTTTAAACAAAACCCGAAATGCTAGATAACGGATATAAAACTAGAGGTCACAATAGTAAACTGAGAAGGCAATATACAGGAAATATAAAACGACATAATTTTTTCACAAATAGAGTAGTAAACGACTGGAACAATCTTGAACAAGAAAGAATAGACGCAGTCAGTATCAACCAGTTCAAAAAAAAATTGGATGAACATTTTAAATACTAACTTTTTTTATGTTTGTATGTTGGTGTGTTACAGCTGTTAAAGTTACAAACTCTACGTAGTTTGGACTCATCACTCTTTAAGTGTACAGCACTATTATATTATACTATATATTGTATACTTGTCAATCAATTAAGTCTCACCCTTTTACTATGACTGTTCCTTATTCCTTTAAAATTTTTTAAACTTTCTTATTTCTTATAACTTTCTTTAAACTTTCTTATTTGTCTAGTTTTTTTCCTCGAAAACCAGTTCCTTTAAATTCGCCCCCTTCATCTTGTTTTCCTGATTTATATAACTTGCAGTCTTTTCAGTAGTCTTTCAATCGTTATCTTGCTTAATAAACTTCATCTTTTCTTTTCCAGTAACTTCCAACTCTAGTAGTGGTTGCTTGCAACCTTGTTGGAAACAGGGGCGCCCACAGGACTTTTTGATGTTTCAGGTAGAACATTTTCACGCATTGTGCAAACTCCAACTTTAAGTATTTTTATACCTATGTTGAATGAAGAGAACTTGCAAAAAAATCAGGATGGCGGAGGCCTAGGAACAAAAATAATCTAAAACGTTTGCCACCCCCCACCCAGCCCCTCCTTAAACTAAATTTAAATTTATTGATAGATTTTAAGTTTTTCAGAAAAAATGTAAATTACAAAAGTTATGATTATGCAAAATTTAAAAACCACTCATTTGGGGTAGGGGGGCGGGTATTGAAGATTTGTAGTTTACTATATTTTTTCTACAAAACCTAAAATTGTCGATAAATTTAAATTTAGTTTAAGATAGTTAAGTCAAAACTTTTACTACATCAGTGCCCTCACGTTTGGGCAAGGAGGGGGGGATCGTTTTAGGACTCTTTTGTTCCCCGGTTTACACCAACCCTATTTTTTCAAGACCTCCTCATTCGACATAGGTATGAACATGTTTAAGTTTGGAGTTTGCACAATGCGTGAAAGAGTTCTATCTGAAACACCCAAAATCCTGTAGGCGCCATTGGTTGGAGATTTTTTTTGTACGTATTGTAAACAAAGATATAGGTCAGATTTTCAATAGTTAATTTTTAGTGTTGATACATTTAATAATCAATTGCAAAGTTTATACATATAACTTAAATTAATAAAAAAAACATTTGTTATACTGTTTTAGCTGCTATTTCAAGGGCTGAGTCAGCCAACAACATCAGTTAGTTATTTTATCTCTTCAATATCATAATAGTTATATACTTTTTATTAGAGTTCAATATATATAGTAGGGGAGACCGGGGCTAGTTGACTCGGTTTTTACTCTATGAGCTCTGTAGCCCTAACGGCACATTTTTTCGAAAATATTAAAGTGTTGTCTTAAAGAGTATGAATTTGGGTAACTTATAAAAGTTGTGTTCATTTACAAAAAAAAATTCTTTAGGTCTTCCCGGGCCCTCAAAAAAAAAAAAAAAAGTGCTATCTTACCCCGCCCCGGGTTAATTGGCACACACTAGAAAAATGATTATATTAACATACTATTAAGTGCAAAACTTTTAGAAATTTTTTTATTATTTATTTTGGCGATTATTTTAATCTAAAAATTTTATATTATTTTTAGCTGGTACTAAATATTAGTTCGTTTAACAAGCCAAAAGAGTAGCCCACTTTTTATCTGTTGAAAAAAACTCCTAATTTTTTTTTTTAATTTTTTTGTAAAAAATATATTTTTTCAATATTTTTAAAATTAAAAAAAATAATAGTAATAATTTTATAAAATAATTTTTTTTTTTCCAAAGTAAATGCCAACTTGCTCCTTGAAGATTTTGCCAACAAACCCCAAATACCTTTTTTTCAATAAACAGTCCATAGATTCTAAAAAACGGCAACTTATGAAAAAAAATCTGACTGGAAATAGTAATCCAATTGTGGCTGGAATTTTTAGAATAATTTTTTTTTTCATACGACTAAGTATTTGTATTTGTAAAGTAAAAAGGAAGCGATGTTTAAAAAGTTACGTTTTTGTCAAAAAAACACATAAATCTAAATATCTCCCAAGTGCATGCGTGAACTCTTACAATACTACAGTGAATGATGAAATGGTTAGTAAGTAAGGTTATATGAAATTTTTGGCACTTTCTGGTGAAAGGCTTTCAAGATAAACGCAGTTCGTCAACTTACCCCTGCGGCCAACTAGCCCCGGTCTCCTCTATATAAAAATGTTTATATTGCTTTATAAAGTTTATTTAATTATTGTTTAGATGAAGTTAGCCGAGAAAGGATTATAAAGGAGAAAGTCAGTTATATTCCTGTTATATGATTTATTATTTTATTACATTTAATTTTAGTTATTTATTATACTTTGTTGATGTGGAGGTTAGTGTCCAATCACTTTATTTCTTGATAGTTGTGTTCTTATATACTGATGTGTAGTTTAATTGTTTTAGATGTTAAAATTATTTTTGTGCTACATAATTTATTATTTAATTAGTTTTCGTTGTTAATTTCGAATAAATGTTTTAAATTAAATTTTGCATTTAGGTAAGTTTACTCGTCAGCTATCTAAGTTTTGTAAATGTTATTAATTTAGCGCATAACATTGATACATCCCAACTTAAAAGATTTTGAAAAAAGTTATACAAACAATTCAAGTTTGCAAATCCAACCCAGCTAAGTTGTTTTGCAGAAAGACTGATTTTTTTTGAAATACTCTTGAACCAAAGATTTTAAAGTCAATTGCATGTTTATGCTTCATTGACAAAGAGCTACTTAAAATGACTTCACCTTGTCTTATTGCAGTGGAGGATGTTTAAAACCGACAGTATAACAGATATTTTTCACTTTCTATAACAGAGACATTTAAATAAGAGACTGCAAGCACAAGGCTTCACAATATAAATAGTAAAGAGTTAATAGGTATGTTTAGCGATGCCAAAGTACGATCCCCAAATGCAACAATTTGCTATATTTCTTGCAAACTAAGATCAAAAAAGAATAGAACTTTGGATTATCTTGACAGTCTAGACCTACATTTGGAGGGATTAGGTAGTTAGATGCGTGTCGCATAGTTCGACCTACAAAAACCTCCACCTACTAACTTGATCTACAAAATATAACATCTACTAAAAAGTGGAAATAATTTTAGATGTCCTACTGAGGCCAAAATTGTTTTCAACCGATTATAGTCCTTTTCATTTTCGACCGATTTATGACGTTTTTATTTTCAACCGATTTTATTTTCGACCTATTTTATAGATTTTCATTTTCAACCGATTTGAGATAAATTAACTTTTAACCGATTATAGGCAATATTCATTTCAACCTACTGGTCTGTGTTTTTAACGTTTTTTCTGTACGTTTTTAAGGGTTTTATTATAAAAAGGCATTAAGAACAAATCAATAATAGAAAAGTCTGACATCATACTGAAGTAGCCTGCTGCCGTAGGCTTCAGTATATACATCGACTGTCTTATAGCCTGCTGCCGGTAGGAGAGGGCCGCTACATCGACGAAGGGTTTCGGCTGGGGCAGCAATCTTTTCTTTTATAATTCTTTGTTTTTTTCTTCTTTTTCTGAAAAAAATGTAACAATCAATATATAAAATACATACTCGAAGAGACGTAGTTTTAAAGTCGGTCGAAAAAACAGTCGGTCGAAAAAACAGTAGGTTGAAAATTCAGTTGGTTGAAAATACAGTAGGTTGAAAATACAGTAGTTTGAAAAATTAGTAGTCCATGTTTTAATTAGTTGTAAATATAAAAATCAAAATTTGTAAATTGAAAATCAAAGTTGTCATATTCTATGATTTTAGATATTTCAAAATTAGGTCCAGTTATAGGCTACTGTTAAATGGTCAATTAAAGTAGCGCATAAAAAAAGAAATAGGAATTGACTGCATCATGCTAAAATTAGAGCTGAGATTTGCAAAAGACAGGCATCCAAGTGCTAAAAAGTAGATGAAAAAGAAAAAAGTAAGTTGGAGTGCAAGCTACCTAATCTAAATTTTATGAAATTATAAACTCATACAAAAATATGTCCAAAGACCAACTTTACGATTTAGAAGATGCCATGTCAGGAGGAACTGTAGGCAAAAAACTTAACCATGAGTGGAACAATCCAAGTACATTCAAACCTGTTTTGTATAAGTAGAAAAGGTTAACAAACGAAAAAATGATTTAGTTTACACTATTTCTTACTGGAAAGATGATCAAACTGATATTGAGGCTGTTGGCTATTGTATGAAAAAGATCCGATTTGTTGTAGATGTTGTCTATGGAGAGTTACAGTTTTATTAATTTAACCCCAAAAAAATTGCAAAAACTCATTGTAAGTGCTGTAACTTGCAATAACTAATTGTATGTGCTGTGACCTGCAAAAACTCATCACAAGTGCTGTGACTTGAAATTTTTGATAGACGGCTACGGCTTACCTTTTGTGGTGTCTATTGTTAAAACTGATTACTAAATAATTTCATTAATGGAATTTATCATTGTAATCATTTACTAAATGCCAAAACAAAACTTTATGAAACAAAACATTAAAATAGTCAAACATCTTTTAATAACATTTTATTTGTTTTTTAGTTTGAAACAGCCCAATTTTTTGTGAGCCAAACTTCTATCAAGCTCTATATGAAAGGTTTAAAGATTTATAAAGGCTGGTAAATACTTCATTTTGATTACCTTTTTTTACCACCATTGACTGATAATAGAAGTCCATCAGATTTTCTCCAATTAATCAAAAATGTTTCAACAAATAAAATTTTCTTACACTTGTTTAGGGAGGGTGGGAGGGGGGGTGTTGGAGGAAGGGCAAACGTCCCCTCTTTTATGGTCATGGATGCACCACTAATGTATCTTTTATTCTAATAAAATATGTTTTACTTCTTTGTTGTTATACTTTAAATAACCAATTTTTCAAGGTTGAAGCGTTTTTTGATATTATAGTGTTAAAACATCATCAACACGTCTATGAATTTTTTTCCACTTTATAAATTATCTTAAACTTATTATTTAAATTTTTAAAACTGCAATTGCATATTTTTTATCGTTTTTTTTTATGTTGGGGAGGGGGGCATACGTTTCTCCTGTAAGTCAATGTTAACACCACTTGTATACGTAAAATCTTGTAACATAATTTTATATTGTATTCTAGGTGGTGGTTTGGTCACCCCTCTGCCCATCCGATGCGCCTGTTGGTTAGAATTTCACATAAATTTGTAGCCCACTCTTATACCTATCTTTTGACAGCAAGATATTTAGATTTTGATTAGAATAGACAATTTAAGTGAAGAAAAACATAATTTTGACCACAGTTTCTTCAACAAATCCATATATTGAAAAATCGGTACTTAAACTGTCATAAATTTTGAACCAATTGTTCGATTTTAATAATTTTCACCTTTAAAATACTGAATAAACCCTCTTTTCAATGATAAATTACAGTATAGTATTCAAACAGTTTGAAATTTTTTATCAACATACCTATATATATATATATATATATATATATATATATATATATATATATATATATATATATATATATATATATATATATATATATATATATATATATATATATATATATATATATATAAACTAGTAGAAAATCACTTAACAATCTTTTTTTATTTTACACAGTTTATTTTACATCAGTTAAGACACATCAGAAATCCTGTTTAAATAAATAAAACTTTAATTTATACCAAAATTTAAACTACAGGAAGTCATAAATGACTTAGCTACTGTAAAATTTTCACACATTGGTGGAATGTGCTGACCCTATTAAAAAAAATGCTTTAGAATTGTTTACTTCTGCTTTATTTAAAAAAATATATATATTTTTTTTTAAAGGGGGGATTTATCATAATTATTTATTGAGCTTACTTATTTTCATAGTTTTTTAGGAGAAACTTATTTTCATGCCTGCATTTAGAAATCAACTCCGATTTTTTGTTTAATAAACATTCTTAGTTCGCATGTGTAATTATTTCAAACTTTTCTTGTAAGCATAATATGCATTTTTAGGAAATATTATATGCAGGTGCTGTTTTAAGGATAGACCAATTCAATATAAAATCATCAATATTTTTATCTTTTAATTTCCATATGTATTTTGACAGCATGGTTTTTTTTAATTCTTTTTATTTTTAAAGGATTGTTTGCAAAACGTTTTTTCCATTCACCCTCTGCTATGCCAATATATTGTTTATCAGGTACATTCTTAGAGGAAACAACACATTTATATACCACGTTTTTTGATAAATGCGTGAAAATTTTGCAGTAGCTAAGTCATTTATGACTTCCTGTAGTTTAATTTTTGGTATAAATTGAAGTTTTATTATGAAAACATAAACATACTAAAAAAAAAATTATTGCTTCATATTTGACAGTTGTGCAATAACACTTTCAAAGCTTTTTCAAATAGGACTTTCAATACGTTTGCCATCTTGCCCCGTCTTCCCCTACTTTCCTGGATTCTTATAGGGGCTTGGATTTTTATATAACTGTTTATTGGTATTATTTCTTGTAAACAAAATAATACAAGGGTAACACTTTAACTGACCGGTAAAAAATAACTCCGGACGGTTATTGTATCTAAATAGTAAAAGTATATTTTTCCAAATTTTTATGTGTTTTCTCAATAAATTATCTTTTTTATTTATTTATTTTTTCTTCGCGATATCTTTAAATTTTTTTATGCATTGTTTTAGATATTGCTCAAACTGTTTAAGATTAACTTTTAATATTTCCGTATTGTTTGTTTTATCTTCCTAAACATTAATATCAGAATCTTAATCTTGTTTTTAATGAAAAAGTTAAACATGTTGATATAAATAAAATTCATTGGTTGCTTTTAATTGGTGAGTCTTGATCAATTCTCGATTAATTGATTTTTGTGCATTTATTTCTTAATTTTATATATGCTTTTTTTAAATATTAAAAAAGTCGTTATGAAACAACATTTGTTGTGAAAAAGATGTTAGGAATATGAAATAATATTAAAATAAATAGTAAGTATGCTTAATCAAGTTTTATTCAAATAAAAATCGATTTTTTATAAAACTTATAAAATTGCTTAAATTTTTAAGCTCAACATTGATAAACATAGAAACTATATCAAAGCGTAAATTCTAAGAAATTGAAGGTGCGTATGGTTTGTAATTAGCACACTTATTATATCATTTAATGATTGTAATTCTAATTTTATTTTCGAGCTTTCTTTAAATTTTTTTTTCCGACTTTTCATTTTTTTGAATGTTTTTCTTTTTTTTTCCTCGAGTTAATTCTCTTTTTTTCCCTTCTCTCCTTTAAAACTATTATTTTTTACATATTTCTATTCTTTTTCATTACTTTTAAATTGAATATTTACTGAAGTTATCAACTCAATCAAATCTTTATTTTTATTGTTAACATTTTCAATTGTATTCATGCGCTCCTCTGAGGCTTATGATAATAATCTTCAGAAAGCAATTCAAGGAGAAAAGAAAATGGAAAAACATTTAAAAGTTATTGTTGATTCAGTCTTGTTATGTGGTAATAATATTCTGGCATTTAAAGGCTTTTCTAATGTTCTTTCCCAACAAACATTTTTGTAGTAAATTTGAAGTGAACTTATATAGATGTTTTGAGTAATATATTGGAGTTTGCACATTGCTTACTTATTGGATTATTGGATTGCTGGGTTGGGAGTCCAATTGTGGCGTATTTCAGGTGCGGATTCAGCACTTTTTCGTCTTTGAGATAGGTAACTTCCAGACATGGAGTAAACTCCAAAAATTTATATGTTTATAATTTTGCCAAATAAGGATGGTTTGCAAAAAATTGCGATGATTGGTTTCTGGAAACAAAAAAGCCCCAAAATTTGAGACGTCCCTGCCCCAAACGTTAGAGCAACAAGTTAATAAAATATTTTTTATACTATTCTTAACTAGACTTATATTTATCAATAAATTTTAAATTTGATAGTAAAATATTTTAGCTTTCAAAAATTAAAATCATATAAAGTTTGAACCCCCCCCCCTCCCCTTCAATTCGAGGGGGGTTCAAACTTTACTTGATCATAATTTTGTTGCATAAAGTTGTTACAAGAATCCGCAAAGCCATCCACAGTTTGACACTGTGCTTTTAAACTTCCATCATTTCAAAGGATCATTTGCATCATCTGCTATTAACTGCTTCAATGATTCAATTTCCTTGCACAACTCGTTTCCGTCTATATCGATGCTTGCCTCATCAGTTAATCTTATGTATTAGTCTTTGCAATTCTTCAAAGTGATATGGTTAATAATATGAAGGTTAAGAGTCATTTTTTATAACAAAGAGGCAACTTGAAATATTTGATTTATTGAATATTTTCTTGAAAATTTCAGGGATTTCTTCAAATTATTTCATAAGAAAAACATGAAAATTTGAGACCATATTTTAAAGCGGTTCAATATTTATTGCGGTTTGAATTTTCATAAAACGTTGATTTTATCGTTTTTCAAAATTTTCCATATTTTGATCTAGCAACTTCGTGCAGTTAAAAAAGAAATGAAAAGAATTGCTGAGTTTTTATAAACGAATATAATATCAAGTTATTTGCATTAAGGAAAAAAATTGAGCTTTAAAAATATATGCAACATACTTTTTCCCATTACCCAAAACTTTCGAAGGGGCGTTTAATAACGCAATATTTGAACTTTTGAGTTAATCTGGTTAATCAAGGCTTATATTAGTATATTAAAAGTTTTTAAGAAAGAAAAACTTTTTTTTTTACTGCAAATATAGTCAGAGTTATTAAAAAATCATTATTAGTCTAAAAATAATGTCTCAAAACCTCACTTGCTTTAAAAACGGTAAAATTTATGCTAACTTTGAGAAGCAAAAGATCAATGTGCCAACGAGCTATTGACTTATAGTTTTTCGAGAATGGCTTATACTTTTATATACTTTAATAAATTAAAAAATTCAATTGGTTTTTTTGCTGAAATGACTATCTTTAATTTAAATGAATACCTTTAATTTGAAATGCTATTAGAATCGGTAGCTATTTAATAAATCAAAATTTTCAAATTTGTTTAGTCTCTGTTAGTTGTTTAAAAATTTTTTCTCTGTGAACCCTGAATTCAATTATTTTACTTATTTTAGCTATAAAAAAGTAGATTTACAATTTAAATTAAAACAATTAATACTTTTAAAAAATAAAAATATTTACCTTAATTTTTTTATTAGTGTACATATAATTCCAATATTTATAAAATCATTTTATATTACACATATATAATGTAATACTCAGCTATTTTTTATGACAGAACTCATAAAAAATCCTGCATAGGGGTGACTCAACAAGTTGTGGAAAGCGTAAAAACATTTTTGGGCATTTACGTGGTTTATGATTTCTACAAGTTTACAAATTTTCTTAATTAATTGCTATCAAAATGCCTAAAAAATAATATCATTTATAAATATGTTAATAGGTTTTTTAATGATATTTTTATGGGATATTTGTGGATTGTTATGTAATATAAATTTACAAGAATTTTGTAAAGTGCAAAATTTGAATTGAAGTGTTAAAAGAGTGTAATTCAAAGTCAAAATTCAAAGTAAAAAAGATAATTTGAGTGAACATGATAATGTTGATTATATGAAATGCTGTTTATTTTCTGGGGAACATTT